CTGATTCTCGCTTGATGAACAGTTGTTGCTCTAATCCTTGTCATCTTAGTACTGATATTCCTCACATCCATATAACTTCCAAGATAACTACAGGGTGATGTGTTTCTAATAATGAAGTTCATATTATAATGCATTTAGGCTGTATTGCTTTTTAGTGGGGATTATGATTACATTTGGTTAGAGCTAAAGCCGTTTGAAATGGTTTGCCTAAGGAACATTAGAGCTACTATCACAAAGTATAATGTTCTCTGTTAAAACGTAGTCATTTAGTAATTTTTTTTTAAGATTTCCAATTTGTGAATTAGTAGCACTTAGAGGAAAGCAGCTTTTCCCCTTCCTGAGAGAAGCGTGGAGGAATACTGTGAAAATATAAAAGGCTGTATTCCAAATTTCCATTTTGCTTGTAATGGTGAAATATTTTTAAAGCTCTGTGCTTCATATCATGTATTAAATAGTTTATTGGTTGAAGATTTCTGGTGATTTTACGTTGCTAGAAAAGTCTTGAAGTATTTCCCAAAGTTAATGTGATAGTGAGTTACATTTGCATTCAGGCATTTCTGTGAATTGGTTGATGATTAGAGTAATGATGTGCTTAATACAAATGCACAAAAATTGCAAAAATTATCCTATGTTGTTATCTTTCACAGAATTTCAAGTGCTTAGTTTCTTAAGTGACAGCTTCTCATTTACTCCAAATCCTTGCTAGCATTTGTCGCAGCGCTGCAGCCTGGTGCCTGGAATCTGCCAATCACCTTTGTCACACACTGGAGTTCGCAAGGCAGACTCGCTGCTCAGCAAGTTCATAATGATGAGAGCTTACTGGAAAAAAAATTTTATGGGCCTTATGGGTTAATTCTCTTGGGCTATTTTTATTGTTGAAAATTCAAACACCCTCAGTGTTGGAATTCTTATGAGCAGTGTCACTCGCTTAAAGTGCTAGTTGATGGTGGCAGTACAAATAAAAAATTGCCCTGTAAAATGAGATTAAAAACATGACTAAGAAAGAAGAAAGCAGTTGTGCAGGATAAACATTTTGGTCATTGCCAATAATTTTGATCATTGCTAATGAATTTAAGAAATTGAACTATACTCCAAACTTAGGCTTTAACTTTGATGTGCCCTATACTCAAAATAAGAGCTTCTGTCCAAATATCATATGCCTCTGAAATCCCAAACGTCAGATATTTGACTTACTGATTGGGACCTAGACTAGTGTATTTCAACTGAAAATAGACATCAACTAAACATCATATTGCAAGAAACAACACACTTGCTGGGGAAAAAAAAAAAAAAATCCCCCAAGTCCCTCCTGCATAACAGAAGTTGTATAACTTGTCCATATGCCAATGCCTGCTTCTTCCGCAAAAGGTAAATAATCTGCGTAGCCCAAATTTGTGATGGGGAGTTGCATTGCCAGCCCCATTTTGAATCACTCAAAACGACTCCGTTTTCAAATCAAGACATTATTTAAATTTGTTTCAAAGATGCTGTGTTTGACCATTTGAGACAATGGTTTCTTGAGTGCCTGTCTCAGGTAAGAATTTTTAACAGTTATAGCTTCCTCTAGGGAAATAGGGTGCTTCCTGCCCTTACAGGAAAATTTTCGTGACAGAGACATTTTAAAATGTTAGTTAGGAAACAGAGAATAAATGGAAAGATGGACTGTATGTGGAAAAGGAGAAATGAGAAAATGGGAACACTGGTCAACAGAATGTAAAATGAGCCTTTTCTGAGAATGTGATAAGGGATTAGAAGATTTTAAGGGTGGCAATAAACTGATAATTTTGTAATAACTGATCATTTGACTTTGGGAGCAGAGTATAATTCCACTGCCGGTTACACTCTGGTTTCATTCATTGCAGGTTTCAAATCAGTCTTGATTTAAATAGAGATTTATGCAAGGATAGTGGGAGCCTACATGAGAGACTCATTTGAAGGTTGATCAGCCTACCTCATTTTCTGAGTCTGCCTCATTGCATTGTGTAAAATGAATGTAGACCTTGACCCACAGCACTCGTGCAGCTATGCCCCTGAACACATGTGCAGCTAGAAAACTGGTAATCAGGGTTTGCAAGGAGTGCTGATGGACACCGGTTACCCATTTTGTAATTTTTCTGCAGTGAGGTGGTCCATAAGCTGTTTTGCAAGAATGTTGCGCGTCCATGTCACAATTCTAGTGTTCCTTCAGGTTAAAAATTCTTTTCACCTTGATTTGTGGTGTTGAATCAAGTGATAATTAAGGAAGGATTAGGATACTTAGCACTCTTAGTCTTATTTATGCAAAATAGGTATGATTATGGACTGAAAGAATGTTGAAGAAAGAAACTGACACGACACATGTATCATAGCAACATAGCTTATTCAGGAAGAAGTGGATGGATTCAAAATAGAGGATATGCCAAAGGAGCAGGTGTAGTCTGAAATACAAAGAGTGTTTAGAAATTGATAAGCTGCAGTTTTCAATTATAACATACATTAAATTATTCTAAATTGAATTACTGTGTAGAACAAAAAAATGCTAATATTAGATGCATTAGACTTCCAGACAAGACTAATGTGAAATGAGTATTATACATCAGGTAAGAAAATATTAATGAGACATAAAGAGAAATTTCCATACCGCTTGCCCATGTTATACCAGTAGCCAAAGCTCCTATTCCATGAGGAATAAATGAAAAAAACCAAACCTAATAAATATAATAATAGAAGGACTTTGTGGATTACATGACTGTCATTATCCCTAAGTATATACATTTTTGGTTACAAAAAGATATAGAGGTTCATTGTAAAAACTGCTTTTATCAAAATGGTTCTTAAAAGGATATCATAAAGGAGGTGTTGTAAATTATTTATTTCATAAAGTTTGGCCACCATCAACATTTCCTTGGAGGAGTCAGGTAAGATTCCTCATCAAAGGGTATCGTTAAGCTTTTTGATGTACTGCCTTTTTTTTTTTAATTTTTTTATTTGAGGAAATCCTTAGAACGGTGTGGGTCAGATGAGGAATAAAATATCACCAGTCCTTTGTGGTTTCAGAAGATTAATCTAGCAGCCTGTTTTCTCTTATGATACTGAAATGTATTATATTAGTAACAAAGAGCATTTGCCAAAAAAGTAGCATTTGTACAGCTGCCAATTTGCATTACATCCAGAGAAGGGCAGCAAAGCTGGGGAAGGGTCTGGAGAACAGGTCTCATGAGGAGTGGCTGAGGGAAGTGGGTTTGTTTAGCCTGGAGAAGAGGAGGCTGAGGGGAAACCTTAGCGCTCTCTACAACTACCTGAAAGGAGGTTGTTGTGAGGTGGAGGTCAATCTCTTCTCCCAAGTAACTAGTGATAGGATGAGAGGAACTGGCCTTAAAATGCGCCAGGGGAGGTTTAGATTGGACATTAGGAAAAAATTCTGTAATGAAAGAGCGGTCAAACATTGGAACAGGCTGCCCAGGGAAGTGGTGGAGTCACCATCTCTGGAGGTGTTCAAAAAACGTGTAGATGTGGCACTTCGGGACATAGTTTAGTGGGCGTGGTGATGTTAGGTCAATGGTTGGACTTGATGATAGATGTCTATTCCAACCTAATGATTCTGTGATTCTATAGAGCACACTGTCTTGTGGCATTTATAAATTACTTTTAAGGGCTCTTTGGAATACAGCCTGCCTTGACGTGTCACAAGTCAGGAGGCTTTTGCTGGAGTGACCCCTCACTGTAATGAACATCAGTTGTGCCTTGGTCACAGCTCCCTGCAGGCCAGCAAGGAGACACACCGCAGACAGAGGGAAAGGAAGAAGTGTGATGCTGTTGGCTGAAATAGAAAATGCTGGCTAAATGGGAGTGAGGTGGAGAAGCTGCTGAGGAGCAGTCTCTGCATGTTGCTGGCCAGTATGAAGGTCGCTCCCTTAGGCAGAGCTCTTTGCTCCATCAGCTCCTGTTCCTGTAGGTCTCATAGCTGCATGACAGACCTCTTCTAGCCCCAATTTAGCAATGCATAACGGTGTAATAGTTAACTTAAACTATGTGAGTAGTCCTTCCACTCTCTCTGCTTGTGGCTTTCCCTGGGAGAGGAGTACCTGGTGCAGGCAACTGCCTTAACTCCGTTCAGCCTACCACCTCCATGGCCCAGGCTCCTGGCAGAAGGAGAGGAAGATAGGATGGACCAAACCCAAAGCTATGAAGGATGGAAGGGCCAAAAGCAAAGCTGTAAAGAACAGACTTCGTCTGAAGGATTTACAGGAGCCAAATTCTGATGTTTCATGATGCTTCTCTCCTTGCTTATGAACTGTCTTGCGTGCTTTGCCTAGGGAGCAGTGATGCTGCCAGCCCTCTGAGGCAGGGAGGTAGTATCTTCTGTGCTCTACCAGCTCCTGGTCCCCTTCTGTATTTACCAAATTTGGCTGGGGCTGGTCCCCTTTTAATGGAGCTTGCTTCCCTGAGGAAAGAACAGTGTTGTGGTGATGAGCTGCTGCAAAGCAAGGAGAGAATTGCTGAGGCTTATACCTAAGCATGAACTCATGGTCATGGGGAACTGATTTCCTCAATGCAGTCAGAGTTAGGAGTAAAAAGAGCTTATTTCTCAGCTTTCTGGGTAGCTTTTATCACGGTGTTTGATTGGCATATGCTGCCTCAGTGTCACACAGCTTGGTAGCGGCTCTGCTTTTGTCAAGCAGTTGTATCTTGACCCTTGCGAGCAGGCTGGTAATCTCTGTCTTTAACGGAAGGACTGGAGCAGAGGTAGCCAGGACCATGGGGATGTCCTGTGTTGGGGACAGTAGCAAAGAGCCCTGTGGCTTCAGCTGGCTTAGGACCGAACCAGACAAGGCAGGAGCCCTGGGAGGGGGGCAGGACTGCACTGTCTTGCCCAGAACATGAGGAACTGTATTATTATTTATACAGCATAAATGAAGATGTAGCGATTCCATGTAAAACCCAGCTTAGCACCATTATTGATTACAACATCCACGTCCCTGCGGGTATGCATTCTCATGTGCCCACATATGCCCCTGTAGTGGTGTTTGTACCTGTGGAGTGTGAAGGAAATCCCCAGAATTACCTCCCCTCCTTTAGTGGACAGAGCAGACCCGTTGCTGACCTTGCTGAAAGCCAAGTCGCTTGATGTTAGCAAATTCCTCCAGAACCAGAACAAAAGCAGAACTTCTTACTGCAGGTACTGTGAGATTTTTATTTTATTTTGCCGTGGCTAGGTCCATGGTTTCATACCAAAACAGCCCACTTCCCTCAGGAAAGGAATGTGTTGTTTGCCACTGAAAAGTGCCCTGCCTTTGTGCCACTATCCTGAACAGCAAATGTTAATTATTCTTGTCTTGTCAATTATTGAAAGAGAGGAATAGTCACAGTGGATGCTTTTTGCCAGTGTGCAGTTTCGAATTGTCATTTCCAAAGGCCCATGTTGGTAACTGCCAGGAGCAAATCTACAAGCCGTCACGCCGCTACAAACAAAATAAGCTGGCTGACCTAGATCTGAATCAGCTGCAGTGACCAGTAGGTTATAGGACTAAAGCTACAGAAAACCATCTTTTCTGTTGGCTTCCCCTAAGATCCCTCTGCTTTTATAAGAGTATGCTCCCTTGTTGTGGAAACATGACTACTTCAAGGTATTTCTGGTAAGCACATCAGTGCAAACATAAAATCTTCCCAAATAATGCTAGTACAGTCTAATTGTATTGCACTATACAGTACCAAATGAACTCACTTTTTGTGCAGTAATTTTGAGGAGCAATATTGGGCAACATTTTTTCCATAATTTAAACTTTGGTTTAGATTTCTTTTTTTAAATCTAACATTCATACTTTAAACCAAGCCGACACTTTGGCTGAATTTGTTTAATTAAGGTTTTAATTAAAACATTTTTTTTAAAAAAAACCCCTTCTTTTTAAATTCTAGGTATAAAAATGTCCATTACCTGCTGTGGAAATCACATACACTTTTAGCAGAAACAATTCAAAAATATAAATAGCATTTCTTTAGATTTTGCAATAAGTATTTCACTGCTGATGGGGGATGGGGGAAGGTCTGATTTAATTAGAAGTCAGTCCATTTGGAAAATTTTGTTTTAAAAGCCAGAACTTTTCTCAGCAGTAAGTTCTCATGATTAAACCATGTCTTAAACCCCAACTCCCGTGTGGGTAACTGTGGAATCAAAGCAGGGTTGTGTGTTGCCTGAGGATCCCAGTATACTTTGAGCATTCTGGGAGCCTGATGCTGTCCATGTGCCAGGTAAATGTGGCTCTGTTGGAATGGCAGCAAGAGAAGTCTTGCCCTCATGGCTGAGGCTACGTGTGATGGTCCTTCCCATCCAGCTTCTGAGATGTCAGCTTTCAGGTTGAACTTTTCTTCTAGCTATCATTCCTACCCTCCACTCATACCTTGTAGTTGTGAGCAGAGGCTATGGCTGGCATTAGCATGTCTACAAGTGAAGAAAAATAAATGAAAACAGCTTATCACCGCTTTTAAATAAAAAGTAAAATTTTGGGCTCCCCTTCCCCCCTTGGAACAATTCTGTGAAAGATATGACTGGGAAAATTATATTTAGCATGGAACAAGCCTCCACCAAGAACAGCATTGAGGAAATTTGGCTCAGTTTCACAATCTGACTGATTAGCTTTTGAAAATCATGTACTGAGCCCATAAAATGCTCATAAAGTGTTCAGGCAAGGAAGGGTTTTCTGAGCATATACATTTGGCTAAGTTAGCTATACAGTGAAGCAGAAGATGGCAAAATATACAGTGGCTAACTGCATAGCAACCCAAATATGTTGTTTCTTGAGATATATACAATAGGGCATCATCTTTGATTTTTAAAAAAATGCATGCAATATAACTGCTGATTAATAATATTATTAAAATACATTCCTTAGAGGGAAGGGATCGTATTATATATATAAAATCTGAAACAATAAAGGCATATTTAGTCATAACAACGTGAAAACACCATATGAGAATGAAAAGCCTGCAGTGTACTGCACATGCATTTCTGAGACAAGAAAACACGATACTGTGTTGGAGAGAGGAGCCAGGTGGTCATGAAACTGAACACTCCATTGTACTGGAAGTGCACATGGGCTTCAGGAGGTCTGACCAAGCCTAATCTGGACATTTTAGGACTTGTGAGCTTAACCTGACTTGAATTTTTCTGTTTTTTTTTTTTTTTTTTTTTTTTTCTGGAGTAATTTTGGTTTATTACTCAACAAACGGGAATACATTGATTTGCCTTTTTAGAAAGATAATTTGTTCGATGTTGACTGAATTGTGTGACTGGATTAAACTCACATAATGTGTCTTTTGGAGAGTGACTAATTGGAATTTACTGCAAGCCAGGGATGACTTTAAAATCGGTTCTGTGGAGTCTTTGTAATAAGACTTAACTGATTGTGAGATTAGTACCAGAAAATACACATACATTATCCAGCTAACACTGAGAGCAAATAGTGCTCAAGAAAACAGCTGTTTCTCCCGCACCCTGAAGGACTACTCCAGGGGAAAGTAAGAAAAGCAGAGTCCCAGTAGGACCTAGACTGAACCACTGTTACAGCTGAGGCTTTGGAACAAATGAGAACATTTGAAATAGCAGATTACAATCTTTCTTTTCTTTTTTTTTTTCCTTTAGTCCAGATGTACAATGTAGAACCTCTGAACAGATTTCTTGGTTTAAAGGTTGTCATATTGTTGGGTTTGGGTTTTTAGTGCTTAAGTCACTAAAATGTACTGGTTGCTCTGGTTGCATGCCCTGTTCAGAGGCTCCTCAGCTATTACTTCCAGTTGTTCACCTCAATCCTGTGAAATCACATCCTTAAATTAAATTTAAAAGAGACAGCCCTGCAGTTGCCTTCCTTCTGGAGTCTGCACAGCATACTGCTGCCTACACGGGCAATGACTGCAAATGTCTGTCACAAACAATTAATAAAAATATAAAATCAAGACTTTGCTTAGAAAAGCGGGAGAATACTTTCCTCCCCAGATTTCTGCCTCTTTTTCATCCAGTATGTCGCAGATAATATCTAATAATTGTCCCTGTTAAGGTACAGTTCAGACAGAGCAAGTTATAAAGATAACTGTTGGAAAATTAAAGGGCTATGGAGAGGAGACTTTGCTGGGCGGTGGGAGTGCAGGAGCCACTGGTGGAGAGCAGGCATTGAATCAAGAGCCAGCCAAGGTGTAAGAAGAGCAGGACCTGCAGGCTTGCAGGCTGGGAATAGAGACAGCATAGAGCACCTGGAGCTGGAGAGCGTGTTGGGAGAGAGCAGCTTCATGCAGGATTTGAGTTGAACCTCCAGGTCCATGACTTCATTTGTTTGCTAACAGGGATAGTGACTCGTGTCCGCAATGACTAGGGCTACCTGAGGATGGTGGCTTGCTCTGTCTTACTTTATTATCTCACATACTAGTAAGCTAAAGATCTGGACCTGCCCAATGACCCAAAGTGTGGTCAGTAAGGTGTGTGCAACAGAAATTTTATTCTTCATTTTGGTTTTCAAAAGAAAGGAAGAGGGCTGTGTTAAGAAGAAGAGTAGCTTGCAATGCCGAATTCCCAAAGTCAGGCAGTGGCAGAAGAATGAGCGTATGCATCATAGCATTAAGTCATCTGAAAGCAGTGTATGAATTTTAATTACAACATTACTTTATATTGGGGAAATAAATGTAAGAAATAGATGACAAATATGTATTTTTTGTAATTTTTCAGTTGCTAGCTTTATGGCTTTAACTTTCAGTCTGGGTTTCTGGTGTGCACAACTATAGTGCATATAGCACGTGTGAAGGGCTGTAAGTGTAGGTGAGACCAGTATTCCTATATGTGTAAAGAGCAGAAAATGCTTTGCAGCAAACAATGGGAAGCTGATTTATGTAAAACCAATAAGCAGTCTGAGCTAGATTACTGTAACACAAAGTAATGTTAGAATTAAAATTCATAATCTTATAACTGCTTTCCAGATTATAACATATTTTCATAATTACAGCCATGAGATAAGACCTTTCCCTGTTGGGTAGTTTTGTTTACCTTTTTATTGGCATTCTTAAGATTTAATTTGGCAGGATCCAGAGATCAGTTTCTACTAACATGACTCTAAAGTGCCATTGAAAATAAATCAGTTCTTCAGAATTAGGAAGAAGGAAGCTGACAATTAAGGAATACATATGTCAAAAAACCAAATATGCGCTCTACCAACGATGGAAAGGAAAATTCAGAATGCTTTATCTCACTTCTTAAGTGGAATAATAACAAAACCTAATAAGGATTGATTCTGATAGTAAATGTGCTCTTGAAAATCGCTGGGTTATTTATTTCCAACAAATTCAGTTTTCAAAGAGTTTATTTCCTAATACAATGTTTTAATGGTTTAATTTTTCCCTTTAAAAAAAAAATGAGGAATTTTGATTTCCAAGGAAGCATGTAACAAAACTACATTTACAGAACTCCACAATTTCCTTCCTGAGCCTGTTGTCACTCAAAGCTGTTTGGAGAGGATGACTACTCTGGGGTGGGGGTAGGTCCACCTTGTTCCATGAGGACTTTTACCTGATGTAGTTCTTGGGAATGAAACCATGAAGTGTCTTCAGCTAGAAAGAAAGGAAGGAATGAGCTCGAAAGCCTGTCTGCTTCCTCCTCCCCTGAGTCCCTACTATTCTCACACTTCACATAGATGAGGTGGTCAGTTTTTGCCATCTCTTTCTCCTCACCTCATTTTTCTTGATTTCCTATTGCCATGGAGTGTTACACTTAGAAGGATGTGCAGAAAAATGTGAGGAGGCATTTATTCACCTGCAGCAGAAATGAGCAGTTAAAAGCAAGACAGGCAGGTTGAGGTAGCCGTTGGAAAAATATTCCTCGGTAGGATGGATCAACCAGCCTCCTGTTTGTATTGAAACTGGGAAATGAGCCAGATATTGCTAAAGCCCCTGTACGAGCCACTAATGCCTGACAGCTTCATCCTGTGTAATCTGTGGCCAGTGTTTTGACTATTAGCTATCAACTTGCATGGCACATTGGTGGTTGGTGAAGCACATATGTTGATCCTTAATCTCTGCAACATGACCCTGTGCTGGAACCCAGCAGATTTTTAAAACCTGTAGAAAAGGTACCGGTGGCTGTGCAAGGGAACAGAGGAGGGGCTCACGGTGAGCATTACTGTCAGCTATATTGGCAGGATTGAACTAAATGGCAACACTGTGATCCAGCTGCAACACACACTCCAATTCCACCCAGAAACCTGCGACAAACTGTGCTTGTCTTTGGTTGTTACTGAGTCATGAGAGATAAAAATACCTTTGCTGCAGAAGGGAGAGCGGTTGTGGTGCTGCAGCCTGTGGCAAGGGGAGGGCTGCGCTCTGGCTGGCTGCACAGGCAGGCTGTGCACATGGAAAGGTCCTCTTGCGCTGTAAATGCCGGGATGGTGGTCAGCCCCACGATGTAAATCACTGCCGTAGTAAGTCAGATCAAAGGTCCATTTTTGCAGTCTCTGACTAAAACCTGTTCACAAACTCTTGGAGAGCAGTAGAAGAAAAAGGGCAGGAGTCGAGTGGCCATCACGGTGTCCCCTCCCAGCTGTCAGCGTGCAGCTGACAAGAGGCCTCTCTGAGCTGGGCTGCCCTGGTGAGCAGCTCCGGGCAGATGTGCCATGGTTTGCCCTGGGCCTTTGTGAGCCCGTTGTACTTTGGCTCCTGTAGCAACAACTTCAAAGCTTCGGTGGTTGTGCGAAATAATGTTTCCTTTGGTTTGCGTGAGGGCTAGCGAGGACCAGATTGTCCTGTGCACGTTTCGTCCTCAGTTGCATCCATCCAAACTTCAGGTTTTGATGGGATTTGAGAGTGTGTGTCGCTCACCTTTTGTTATTGTTTGTACATCCCTAAAGAGAGGCACCCCAGCAATTCAGGGTTTAGGTCTTTGGTGGAAAGGGTGGTGTGATGAACTTTGGGTGGTATTTCTGTGGACATCCATACTGGAAGAGTCTGTTATGCGACGAGCCTCTTTTTATACCAAAAGGACTGAAAAATGTAATTTTAAGGGAAGAGTGATGAGCATCGACCGTCGCATTAACTGCTCCCAGCTTTACCTCCTGCTTCCCAACCCATGTCAGGCGGGGGCGGGTCGCGGAAAGCCGCTTTCTGCCGTGTCCCCCGGGACTGCCGTTCACTGTGCGCACCTGAGGGTGCCCTGGCTCCCCCCGCACCCCCAGAGGGCGAAGAGGTGCCATTTTGTAGCGGTGCGTGACTCGCCCCTCGCTGACGGCCCTCCCGCTGGGGCTCCTCCC